GCACCCCACGGCCCGTGTGCATCCAGCGCCATTCCCAGCCAGCCCCCCTCCCTGTCCCAGCCGTTCCTGCTGGCAGTGTCGTGGCCGTGCCCTCACCACCACCCCTCTGTGCCCCCCCGGTGCCGGGTACAATGGGCAGAGGCACCCGGCCCGCGCCTCCCCTGGGTGGGAAACGGAGGAACTGCGGCTCCAGCGCTGTCAGCACCAGGCCAAAGTCAACTTTATATTAAAAAAAATAAGTCCAAACAATACAAACCCCGTAATCGCGCACAGTTGTTGGCTTTTGGGGTTGGGGTTGGGGTTTTTCTCCCCCCTCTCCCAAACCAGAGCATGTGACTGTGACAAGGCAGGGATAACACGGCTCCAGGACTATCAAAGAAGTTACCAAAAATCCAGCTGTTCCAGAGATGATGATGATGGAACAGCCCATAGCAAGGAGAATTTTTTAAAAAATGAAGAAAAAAAAGCTGTTTTAAAGCTCCACATTGTTCGTGCCCAATTTGCAGGCAGCAGTAATTGAATACAGTGGTAATTGGACATTGAAGCTTGTGTTTGTGACTCCTCCTGGCCAGCCCTGGACCTCAGCATTCCCTTAATCCTCTGCCATCCAAAGGAGCTCTTCTTTCCCCCCCCAGCCTGTCCTGCTTCCCGCGCTGCATCCTGATGTGCCAGAGCTTGGAGAGCTGCCCGAGCGGCTCATTAGCAGGACTCATTTCCCTGTGTCCAAGATTAATGAGGCACAGCCACTCCAGATGCTCATCTCAGGCCAGGATGGAAATGTGAGTCCTGGGAACTGCTTTGGGAAGGGAGGGGGCTGCTCCCAGCTGGTGGTCTGGCGGGGACAGGCAAGGATTTCTCCTCTCATCCCACCTGGAAGCTGGGAATGAGTGAACGAGATCTGAGCATGTCCTCAAAGAGGAAAAGGAAGGAGAGTCATGATGGAAGAGCCCAGCTTCCAGAGTGATCCAAAGCCTCTGGCCCAAGCACTCTCCTAGGTCTCCTTCCAGGGTTATTTTGTAGGTGACAGCTCCCTACTTCCCTCTCTGTCCTCCTCCCACTCCAGTCTGCAAATCACCCTTCCAGAGAAGTGGAATTTGGGCTGGGAATGCTGCCCTAGCCCCTGCCTGTAATTAAGGAGAAGAGTTTGTTACCACTGGGCCATCAGCAGGATTTTCCTTGGGGAAACTTCCCAAGCATTGATTCCTGCTCATATGGGACAACAACAGTTTGCTGTGTTAATTACAGCTGGTGTTCCCAGGGAGCATCCAAACTATCCCAAGCACTGCATCCTCTGCAAAGGTGTTGCATCCTGAGGATGCTGCTCCATCCCTGCTCCTTTGTTGTCCCAAAATTTAGCTGGGATGGTTCAACAGACAGTACCAGTTTTTGCAACATATTGGCAGCAACTAGACTGGCCCTGAAGTGGCCAAATTACTTTAAAAATTTGTATATTATTTTGTGCAGACATAATAAGGACACAGAAAGACTCTGGAAAAGCTGTTTGGTGGGGAATGCTATCCAGGAGGCAGAGGGAAGAGTGCAGGCAGGAAGGAGCTCCATTTGGCACGGAATTCCCTGTGAAAGGGCCATTCCTCTGACTGCTGCTTCCAGATCCTGCTGGAAGTGCAAGCAGACAAGTAGCTTAATTAGCTATTGGAAATCCAGTTCATGTTGTATCTTTTTAATGTCTTTTATGATGGGGTATTTCATCCCACCTGCAAAATACTGATGCAGACAAATAGCCTGTCCTCTTCCTCCTCCTCCTCTTCCTCCCTTATAAATTGGGTGTCTGAAGTTGGCTCCTTTCCTGGGCAGCAAAACTCTGTGTGCTTTCTCGGAGCCATCCAGCCAGTCCTCTGAGCTAAAAATGCAGGAAGAGGGCACCAAAATGGAGCTATTTGGAGTTCAGGTTACTTACATTTACTTGGCCAGGCTGGAGATCTACCAAAAGCAAAACCAGAAAGAATGGAAGGAACACCAACCCTGAAGAATCCATAGAGGGCAAGGATGGAAAACAGGGAGCTTTCCTTGTTGATCTAAGCAGGGAATAAATTTCCTCCTGTCCTAAATTCTCACATGTCCTTTATAATAAGGTAAAGCAGGATGTGTGGGGTAAGCTCAGAGATACCAGAAGCTTGAGCATCCCAGGGAATTTGCTTCTGGCTGGTGACAGGATCTCTGCGGATGCATGATGGGAGGATGGCCGGGGTCTCCTTGAGATCTGCCCACATCAGTGTGATCCCAGTGGAGTGGGGCAGGCTGTTGGACCAGCAGGTCTTTGCTGTCTCTATTTGTGAGCAGTTTCCATCCTGCAGAGCTGTGGGAATTCCTGCTGCAACATCCAGAGGATCCGCAGCCCAGCCTGGCAAAGGCTGACTGGGACCAGGGCTCCGGTGCTTCCCTCTGGGGAGGCGGGTGCCCTGGAAAGGAAAGGGGAAAGGGAAGTAGTTTCTGGATGAGCACACCTCCTCTGCCCTCTCCGGTGGTATCACCAGCTCCTTGCAGCCTCTCACTCCGCATTTCTATTAAATTCCTGGGAATATCCTTTTCTGTGACCTCAACCCTCTGCCAGACTTCCCTGATGGGAATCAACACAAAAATTTTGTATGGAAAACGTGCAGATCCATGCAGAGTCTGCTTGTGCAAGCTGTGTTTCCTCAGGAGAGCGGGATGAGCCTGAGCTCCATCCTGCCAAGCTCTGGGAATCTCTGATTCCAGCTGCCCTTTCCACCTGTGGGTCACTGAGCCCAAATCTGGAGCTGGGACAGCCCCAGTGACACCCACAGTCTCTGCTAGAGAATCCAGTGTAGCATCCCTCCTTACCAGGCTGCACGTGTCCCCAGGTGGGAGCTGTGGATGTGACTGGGATCTGGGAAGCAGCGTGGGAGAGAGTTGGAGCTGGGAGGGAGACGGGCAGGAAATGCCGTGAGTAAATCAGCCGAGCTCGCCTGAGTCATGACTAACGGGGAGCGTGATACGTCTGCAAATATTAGAAATGTGTAAACAGAGAGGAGGGAGAGGGATGGTGTCTGGAATGATTGAAGGGAGTGAACTTTTGGATGGAAAAATGTAGGTCAAGTATGAAGGAAAACTTGTAGGCAGCGAGATAAGTGCTGTAAAACAACCTCCTTGGGAAACACGAGGAAGTCCCATTGATGGAGATGTTTATCCTAAGCCAGACAAGGCCTGGAAAACAGGCTAAGCTGGAGGGATGGACTTGGGGGTCTGTCCCAGATGGGGCTGGGCGTAGGGATGCAGATCCACAGCTTGAAATATTCCCTCCCACTTGTGTCTTCACACTCTGGTTCCTTCTCTGGAGCTGTTCCACTGTGTCCCAGTAATTAACATCCAATGGGACAGGGAGAAGAAGCAGGACCACAGCTGTGTTACCACATCCCAGAGGAAAACCCTGGCTGTGGGGATTGGGACTGCTCTGAAATGCTCACTCCGTGGATCATGTCCTGGTTCCCATTAAACTTTCTGTGATGAAAGTTTCACCAAAACTAACACGTTTCCGTGAAAACTCTGGTTTTCATGATTTGGCATTTTCCAGGGGAAAAAAGAAACTAAAATAACTTGCCAAGAATTTCCCAACCGGCTTTAATCCTGAGACACCACCATGATCCAAACAAGTGATGATAAGGATCTATGGAAAACATGGGGAAACAAATAACTGATGGTTTCAAAGCCTCCAGAAAATGAAAATGCCACTGAAAAGAGGAGCACGGGGTTTCTCCAAGCACGCCGAGGAGGGAAGCTCATTCCCTTTGAATCACGGGGAGTCCTTTCCAGCTGGTTTCAAAGGAAGTTGGATGTGGTCATGGAATGACCCTAGTGCTGTCACTGGTGCCCAGATGAGTTCTTAGATGAGCTGGAAGCACCACGGAGGGGGTGCCCTTCCCAGGGGTGCCGTGGCTTTCTTGCAGCCTGAGGAATGATGCTCACCTGGAGAAACAGGAGCTCTCCCTCCCTCCCTGCTGCAGCCAGCAGAGACAAACAGCTTCCACCTGTGCCTGATGCTGGGGAGATAAGAGGGATGCAGGCAAAGCCATCTGAGCTGTGCCCGGCCAGCTGGGAGGGTCACAAGCACACACAGGGTGGAAGGGAAGAGGGAAACCAGGGACCAGACAGGCTGGAGAGGCGGGGGACGTGGCACAGCCTTGCAGTCACAGGTGAACCCCCAGGTTGCTCTTCCATATGGAAATATTGCCAGGCACAACCCGAAGCATCAGGAAGGTGAGGGGAGCACACGGGGACACCTGTACCGCTGTTTGGTACATTCCAGAGTCAGAACATCCCTGTAGAATGAGTGGGTTCCAAAAGAAATGGCACAGCAGGAAGTTCCACATATCTGGGAACTGAGAATCTCCCCCATGGCCAGGTGGGGAAGGTGAGGAAAATGTTATTGGGTGGCAGAGAGAGAGGCAGCAGGTCTTGAGGTGCAGCGGCTGCGTGTGCTGCATCCCAGCAGTGCCAGCTGCTTCTGGCCAGCAGCCTTTCCAGCAGGAAATTTCCAGGAAAGACCAGCCCATGGTCTGTTTTGCTGTCCCATGTCCCACATCCAGAGCTGATGGGGACCAAAGCACTTTAGAGGAAGGGAGAACCTCCCCCTGCCCAGGGGAGTAGCAGGGTGTCTCAGGGAGGAGGAAGGTGCTCTGGGACAGGCGATAAGCAGTGTTGGAACCTTTGTATGATGGATTGAGGTCTTGGGTCACTGGTGTTGGCAGAGTCTGTCCCAGTGCCTGTCTTCAGGGGACGTTACTCCATGTGGTAATTAGCTTTATTCCTGTGGTGGATTTAGCCAGAGAGATGAGTTCCACCTTCCTGATAGTTGAGTGAGTTGTTTTAATCAATCAGTGTTCAATAAGTGACCCCAATGGCCTGGCAGACATTTCTCACGGGGGTGGGAGTTCTGCCTTCCCCTTTCACCCCGTGTCTCTGCGAGGCTTCGGCAACCCCAGCTCGGGGAGGTGACAGTCCCTCTTGGTGGCTTCCCCTAGGCTGTCTACAAGGCCTGGCTGTGCTCTGAGTACTTCAACGTGACCCAACAACAGTGCCGACAGCGGATCCCATGCAAGCAATACTGCCTGGAGGTGCAGACCAGGTGCCCCTTTGTGTTACCGGACAATGACGAGCTGATCTATGGAGGTTTGCCTGGCTTCATCTGTACGGGTAAGGAGGTCTGGGAGCGGGGCACAGGGCGGGTCACAAGCCACATGCTGGGTTTGGGAGGCTTGGGGCAGAGTGGAAGGAAGTGCAGTGTGGAAACACGTGGCCTGATGCTGAAACAGGGCCATCCTGGGGGTGCAGCGGGAGGGGTTAGTGGGGATACAGCGACATCTTAACATGGGAAGTGAAAGTCCTTCCTCTGATTGAAAGCTAAAGCATGTAAGGGGCTGGAGGTGATGGATTAAAGCAGGGCTGGGACATTGAACCACTATGAACAGGATTTGGGGAGCCCTGAGCACTCCTTGCTCATCTGTGCAGGCTCACAGTTGCTGGGGGCCAGTCCTGGGGGGTCTCTGGGTGTCCTGGTTCTCAGGTTCTGCCCACCCCGCAGCACCTGGCTCACTCCCTCCACAGCCCCATCCTCAGTCTCCCACTGACCCCCTCCTCCTCCCCCTCTTCCTCCCTGCAGGGCTGCTGGAGAACCAGCTGCCCGATGAGGAGGCCAAGTGCTGCGAGGTGCAATGGGACTCCTGCGACCACCCCCCAGACAGCAACGACAACACATCCCCCAAATCCACGGCGTCAGAGTCACTCCATTTCCACCGCCACGACCCCCACGTCCATCACCAGCAGCAGAACCACTACCATCTCTACCACCACCACCAGTACCACCAGTACCACCAGCCCCGCTCCCCGTCCTTGCTGCCGGTCTCCGCAGGGTCTCGCCTCGGCAGCAGCAGGATCAGACTGTGCGTGCTGGTCCTGATGCTTCTCCACACCATGGTGTCCTTCTCGAGCGTGCACGGCGGCGGCGCGGCCGGGGGGCTTGGCCTGGAGGCCCTGCCCGCCCTGGAGGAGAGCGTGGCACCGGACGAGTGACACGGAGGGCAGGGCCGACCTCCACTGAGAACGCCAGATCTTTTTCCACTAAGGGGGGCACATGCTATTCCTCCAATGGGAGGCACGGGATTGGGGGTGACGCACACACACCCCCCAAGAGCTGCTCGCGCGGGGCATCCCCGTGATGAAGAGTCTCTAACGCGCACAGGGCTGCGGGACCCGGCCGCTGAGAAGGGTTCGGTCAGTGCGCGGGGCAGGGACGGATAGGGTGGGCGGGATGGAGGCAGGGGGTCCCTTGGGAAGGAGGGTCCCCGTGGGACTGCTGAGGTCTCCTTGGCTGCTGCCGCGAGTGCCTTGGGCGCCCGCGCCTTCCCCGCCCGCGCCGTGCCAGGGTTTGGTGGGTGGCCCAGCCCTTGTTCCTTTTCTCCTCGGTCTGTGAATCCCAAGGGAGCAGGAGGAGGGGCAGCACCTCCTGGCACAGCCTTGCCCCCCCACTCCTGTCCCAGGGAAAACCCACCAACTCAAGGCAGAACCACCCTCGTGGGGCGCAGCATCCTCGGTGTGGCATTGCCCTCGCTGAGGGGATTTGGGGCAGCAGTGGGATGCTGTGACACTTCACTGTGGTACCACTCGGGGTTGGTCTCATTGCATCCCAGCCTGCTCCTCCAGCCTTGCCTTTCCTGCTCCTCTGTGCAAGGAGGTGGAGAGGGAGGAGGCCCAGAGCAGGAGGGATATCCCCAGCATTCCACATCCCACTTTGCCAAGTGTCCTGATGATTTGGTGTAACCTTTTTTGTTGTCCTTTTTGGCTGGTTTCTGTGAGGAGTTAGGGAGATGTGACTCCAGCAGTGCAGGCTAAGGGAGGGAGTAACAGTTGGATGCAGGGCATCCCAAAGGCATCCTTCCATGCTTCCCAGCTACAAATCATCGACTGGATGGCAGGAGAATGGGCAAAAGGGCTGGAGAAACCTGGTTTGTAGAGAGAGTCTCCCACACAAAAAAAGAGACACTAACAAAGCCCAGCTGGGGAGGAGAGTTTTTGTGAATACTTCCTATCCATGGATACCCCCAGATCAGGAAATTTCTGGGAACCCAGCTGGGACAGCTGGACTCAGCTGGTCAAGGTGCTGGCTGCTGCGGTCTCATTCAACTCACTTGGGGTGTTTTTAACCTGAGCTCAGTGTATCCAGGGATTCAGCCCCAAACAGACATCAGATCCCTAGGATCTGATCCCCAGATCATTTCCTAGGAAATTCCCAACTCTCCACCCACCCACCAGAGCTGTTCCCAGTGTGCACGCTGTGAGGTGGTGCCTGGGGAATGGCACTGCCCCTCTGGGCTGGGCACCAGGGACCAGGGTTTGTCCTGGGGTGGGCAGGGAAGAAGGAGGGGGCATTTTAGCATGAGGTCATGGTTTGGATGTGGACCTGCTTTTTGCTCTAAGAAGAGGTGGGATGCTCCCTCTCTTTCCAGGCTGGCTCTTGATGGGGAACCTACAGCCCTGGGTGGATCACTGCAGCCCGGCTGGGAGGCAGGAGGGGAGCAGGAGGAATGTCCTGCTGCATCTCAAATCAATCCCAAATATCTGCAAGGGTCTGAGAAGTCCCAGTGTTGAGGACTGTAGGAATTCTGTGGTTTTTGGTCCATTGAGTTGAAGCAAAACCAAGCAGAGCCCCATGAGCAAAGCTACTTCCTGCCCGGCTGGAAGAAGGAAGTACCGGGCATCTCGTGGGAAGGACAGGTTTCCTGATGTTTCCAGCCCATTTCCAGACCAAAGAGGCTCTGAGAAGCAGCTGAATGTTTGATTCCTGCTTTGACTTGAATCTCAGAGCTTTGGGGTGATGTTTACATGCTACCAGTTGCCTGTTAACCAAAGTCCTGCAGAGACAAGGCCTGTGATCCCGCTATCCCGTAGTTCTGGGGGTGGGAAAGGTGACGCTTATGGAGAATGTAGAGTGTTTCCTGAACAGATTCCTTTGCTGTTGCTATCCAGAAAAGGTAGGATGATTCTCACTTTACTGCTCCTCATGGCATCCTTATATTTTCAGCCTAGTTTACACCGATCTGAGAACTTGGACATGGAGCAGTTCCACGAAGAGGGATCCGAGCCCTCGGATTGCCGTGAGCAGTGTCCTGTGGAGCTGCTCTGTTGAGGAGCAAAAGCTCCCAGGCAGGCCAGGGGAGGGAGCACAGCCCCATCCCTGCCTCCAGACAGCCACATCCTGGAGGAAATTAGATTTCTCATGTCCTGCCAAGAGTTAAGCTGATTCCAGGCGCCTCTCTCGGAGATAGGCTCCGTCCAATCTCGGAGCGACTCGTGTGGAGAGAGAACAGCCCCGTGTGGTGTGTCAGAGTGGCCCTGAGTCACTGGCCCTGCTCGCTGTGTGCTGGGACACTGAGCAGCGCCAGGAGCGCGGGGTGGCCCCGGCTCGGTCCCTGCACCACGTCCAGATCCCAGATCTGGCCCAGGGACTATCCGGAGGGATGTGTGTCCTTCTCCCTGCCCCTTCTCCCCTGTGCCCTGCTGGCAATGGAGCGTCCGGCTGGGCTTGGGGGCTTCTAGGGGCACCGAGGTTTGGTGATGGGGATTTGGGTTTCCCAGAGAAGCTGTGGCTGCCCCATCCCTGGAAGTGTTCAGGTTGGAGCAACCTGAGATAGTGGAAGGTGTCCCTGCCTATGGCAGGGAGTGGAACAAGATGAGCTTTAAGGTCCTTTCCAACCAAAACGCAATCCTATGATTACATGATTTCCACAGGGCTGCAGGAGTGGAGGTCCAGTATCCAAGTTTATCATCAGGGGGCTGGCCAGGAGTTTTGCTGGATAAGCCTGGGAGCTGTGAGAATGTTTCCCCTTCCCTAATGTGAGCTGAAGGCTTCAACCTCGGAGGCCGGGAGCACGCACTGCATCCCAGTGAGTCGGAGAGCGGAGCCAGTTCTGCACTGGGGTGCTTGTGATGGTTACTGGGGGGATGTTCAGCCCCATCTGCCGGGTGAGGGACTCTGCAGGGCAGAGTGGGAGAAAAATATGTAGGAGACCCACATATTTTCCAGGCAGTGGCTCCCAGGAGGTGTTCCCACAGGGATGAGGTACGGTGGGTGGGCAGTGGGAGCGCGCGGGATGCAGAGCCCGGGCTGGGGCTTTACCTTGTGCGACTGGGAGGAAAGTGCTGAGTCTTCACAGAGTGAGGCTTTGGAAGGAGATCTTTTATTTAGTGAGTCTGGGCTGCTGTCAATAAGTTCTGTGGTTTTAGGGCACCATGTGCTGTATTCAACACTTTGCCAATCTCCTTAAACGGATCCAGACGAGGCTGTTCCCGGAGCAGGCCGGAGCAGCTGGAAGCGCTGTATGGAGCCCGTCGGATAAAAATCCTCCCTTTGCTCTGACATTACAGCCTTCCTAATCCTCCATCCCTGATCGCTCTGTCTTTGCTCCACAAGAGAACGGCCCAGAGAGCAGACGGTGACTTTGTCTCACTTCATCCCACCGGCATTACGTTTATTGCAATAGGAGAGGATAAAAAGGGAATGTGCCTGGATAAGGAGGGAATGTGCCTGGCTAAGCAGGGAATGGGGTTCTTTGCCCTGTGCATGCAGGTACACTTCACCCCAAGCCTGATGTCTGCCAGACCAGGAGCCATTGCAGAGCCACATTCCCACAGCCACCTTGGAAAGCCCCAGGTCTGAATGCATTTATCCCACCAGGAGTTTTACACCAAGGGGCTTTCTTCTTTTCATCCAATGATCCTATCTCTTCTCCCTTAAGAAGGTGCCCCACATTGGGATTAAGATGTAACACTCAACCTTTCTTTCAGTGGATAAACTTCTCCTGCTGGGAGAAAACTCCCAGGGGGAAGCAGTGATTCCTCCCTGGTGAAGGGGTTTCTCATCCCTGGGGAGCTGAGGGGTGATGATGTCCCTGCAGGATCCAGGTGTGGGCAGGGCTGCAGGAGCAAAAGGAGCCAGGTCCTGCCCGGCCACATCATTATTCCCGGGTTTTGCACTTTCATGTCGCTGCCAATTGTACAAATTAATTAAAAATAACTGAAGAAAAATCCCAAAGAAAGGCCCCGATTCCTCTGGGAAAGATTAATCATTGGTTGAGCCTTTTTCTTATGAAAATACAGATCCATGGTAGCCCCAGGCAAAAGATTCCCAGGGAGAGCCCTCACCATTCGTGCTCTGAGTGAGGGAAATTGCTTTGAAAGCATCTGACGACTAAAGCAGAACATGTTGAGTAACTTGGCAACACTCAGAAAACATCTTGAAATGGTTTTTGTTCAACACATTTTGCTTTGCTTCAATAGGAGATGTCAGGGCAGTTCACTCACTGCCACTCAGGATTGCGGGTGATGCCGGGAGACACTCCTGCCTTTGGGAAGGGAAAATCCCTGATATCTGCTGCTCCTTGGGGCAGGATCTGCTGGAGCGATGCCATGGAGCTTCCCCTGCTCAGCTCTGCAGGTCCCTCCTGTTCTTCTGGTGGCACCAAGTGTGGAGGTTTGGTGATGGATATTTGAGTTTCCCAGAGAAGCTGTGGCTGCCCCATCCTTGGAAGTGCTCAAGGCCAGGTTGGACAGGGCTTGGAGCAGCCTGGGGTAGTGGAAGCTGCCCCTGCCCATGGCAGGGGTTGGAACTGTATGGTCTTGAAGGTCCCTTCCAACCCAAACTTTTCTGTGATTCCATGATTTCCACAGAGCCGTGTGGTGAGGTCCAATAGCCCAAGTTACCTTCAGCTTCTGATTCATCCTAATCCCATACCCTGGAAAGGAATGTCTTTGGGGATTGGGAGAGACAAAGTCGGGACAGAAACATTCTTGGATTCTGCCAGAATGTGATGGGACAGAGAATTTTGTGTATCAGCTTTGTGTGCTGCCCTGGGGCTTCCCATCCCTGGGGGTTAAATCTCTCTTAAATTATTCTGGAAAAGTTGGGAAGGGCCATGTCTGGTGCTCAGGTTGGATGTTAATGGTCTGCTTCAGGCCATCAAAGCTCATGGGCATCCCAGCTGGAAGTACCAACATCACAACCCCAAACTCACCCCTTTTCCCCCCAAAAGGAGCCTACTTAGAGCTCCCAGATCAGAGCAGCTCAGGGGTTGCACAGCTCCAACCACAAGTCCATTCTAAGGAATTGAGGGGTTTTGGCAGCAATTTTTGGGTATTCTTGGTCCAGGTGGCTCTTTAGGTGATCTTCCAGCCTGCACTGGGAGGGAGGAAGGGAGCAGAGGGAATGCTGTGGTGGAAGATAAACCATCTTTAATTAAGGATCATTAAAAAAAATTAACTTGTAATAGTTGTTGGGGTTTCATCAAAGCTCTCAGCCCCTCTCACAGGCCTGGGCAGGAGACGGATGAGTTCTTGAGCCCCGTCCCTCCATCTTTCCTTGCACTGCATCTCCAGGACTTGTGTTCCAGACAAGGCTAGGAGCAGTTTCCAGCCTCGTTAGCATTTTAGGATGATCCTTTTTCAGCCCAGAAAGTCAACAGCTTTGCTTGTTATAAACTGAAACTCAACAAAAAGACCCAAGAATTAAGTTTGGCTTATGAAATTTGGGGTTGGTTTTGCCATTTTTTTTTAATGTATTTGGGAACTGGACGTGCCTGAGTTGCAAAACAAAAAGACATTTTGAGCCAGACAGTGATTTTTTTATTTTGAAACTTGTCAAAACAAGCCAGATTGATCATTATGACCGATTTTTTTTCTTTTTTTGCAAATTGAGAAATGCATCCAGAACAGGCCTTTCCCACAAAACCTTTCATTTTCCAAAAAGAAAACGAAGGAAAAAAATCAATCACACTTTTTCTGCTCACACAGTTGGAACAGGCGGCAGCGGATTGGGAGAGAATAGCAATTTGTAAGGAATTCCAACCAGCTCTCCCTAAAATAGCATCCAGCCAGTTTCTCCAGGGCAGGAGGCTCAGTGGCTCCATGGTGGGAACAGGCTGGAGCAAGGCCTGGCTGACCAGGGCAGCTCCAGGCTGGGATAACACCTTGGGAATGCAGGGACACCTCCCCTGTGGGAATCAGAGGTGCTTCTGCCTGGGAGGAATTCCTGGGAATCCCCAGCCATCCCTCTGATGGATGTTTAATTTGGTTTTCTGTTCCAAACCAAACTGAATCCAGCTTCTCCGAGCCTCCGGTGCTCGGACATCGTTACGAGATGCCTTCAAAAGGGAGACACTCCCATCTGTGCCTGGGAGTGTGAACTGGGAAGAAATTCCACGTGTGGGTCCTTGAGGAAGCAGACTCCATGGTTCAAGGAGGGATGTGTTAAGGGAGAGCATGACAAGCCCCCAAATCCCTGCCCGTGTGCCCTTCTCCCTCTGGAATGCGGGTCCGGCAGCTGGGCTGGGGCTCCCTGCCCGGGCTGGGGGTGCTGGGGGGCACAAGGGCACCTCGGGGGCACCTCGTGGGGATCTTGTGGGGACCCGACCCCGGCTGTGCCCGCATGTGCCCAGGCTGCTCGTGACCGAACCCTTCTCAAGTGCTTGTGCCATGTCGGTGGTGACAGAGCTCAGACCGACCACAAGTTCCTTTTCCAGTGCGTGGTGGTGAAACTCAAACCAACATACTGCTGAAGTCAAAATATTCTTTCTAATCCCCCTGCCCGGTTTCTCTTTCTTTCCAGCTTTCCTCCTCCGCCTCCCGACCCTCCCTCTCTGTTCCCACCCCCCTTCTGTTTCTCTTTCTCCCCTCTGTCATAAGAAAGTGACTGTGTCCTCGAGGGGACAGTTTTCTTATGCCATTTTATACACTGTGCTTCATGTTTAGAACTTTTTTGCACTAGTTCCTATTACATTTATTTTCCAAACTGGTTTGACAAAAAACAAACAAAAAAAACCCAACAAAAACACAATCCCATGCTATAATTCAGTTGTATTAAAATATTATCCTACTACTCTCTGTGTTCAATAGTCTCTGTACCTGTAATGCTTTCAGTTCTGTTGTATTTTGGGGCCGAGGTTTTCTCTGCTCCTTGTTTAACCCAGTAAAGAAATAAAATGTTAAGAATTGATGATAAACTTCCTCATCCCTGTCTCTGGTGTTGTTTGGGCCACGAGGGTCCCACTGGGACGGGCTCCCCCAGAACCTGCCCTGAACCCCATCCGCTGTCCTACGGGTGTTGTTTTCCTGCCAAATCCAATCCCAACTGGAGGACGGCAGAGGCAGGATGGAGGGACAATAACCCTGCCTTAACTGAATTTGATTTCGTAACCTTTCTTTATATTCTTTTGTTTCTTGCCTTCACATTTCTTGCCACGGGGCTCACCTCAGAACAATAGGGGCGAAGGCTGTCACCAAGAGATTCATCAGAGAATAATGACTCAACCAGGGTATCCAAATTTTGCCCAGCTGAAGTCCACACCCACATATAATCTGGAATTAATTCATCTGGACAACAGATCTCGGCGTAGAGCAGAGCGAGGATACTGCGCTCCAAATTGAGCGCTGCTGCCAGGCTGCAAAGGCCACGGGACACAGCTCTGCAGCTACACTTGGGTTGGTCCTGCCCTGACCTGGAAATCCTGTTTGGAAAGAACACGAGGAAAGGGGATGAAATTGGATGGGAATAGAAATAACGTTTAAAAAAGCAGATCGGTGCAGGAGGCAAACTGGGGGGGAGGCACCGGCTGTGCTGGAAAACCAGCGGAGTGGGGGGTGCAGGAGGGGGGATTTGGGTTGAGGGGTGAATAACTGGGGAGCTGCACCCCCTCAGTGTGGGCAGCAGGGCAGGGGGGGATTCTGCCCCTCTGCTCCTGTCTCAGGT